GTCCAAGGGCGACAGCGATGAGGAGAGCGACTAAGTCGAGTCTCTCTGAGCCGACACGTTGATGGACACGGCGGTTTGGCGCGATACCACATTCCCCGTTGCATCGGCCGTTGGGTGGCAAGGCCGTTGTACCACTAAAATGGCTTGGGCATTAGGCGTTTGGATGAATTTGTGAACATTGTCTTTGTTGTCTGGATCGGAGTAGATGGCGATATGAGAACAATGCAGTGTTTGTTTAGCAAGACCAGTGGTCATGACTGTGAAGGCGCGGGCGCGTGACGAAGCGTGCTTTGAAGCAGCGTACCGCCCCCGTCTCTGCCGGTGCATTGCTGCATGTGCTGGAGCATGCGCCGCGAGGCAGATGCACCTCTATCGTCGGGACCGGAGCATTGCGAAACATGCAATTCCAGATGCCCAATGCGAATGGACAGGCCACGACCCGACCGCTTGACGTTAGCTAGTGGGCGGAGCAATGACGTTCATGCGGTCCTTGGCTTCCGTCTGGTCTCAGATGCCGACCGCAGATCTCATCCACCCCATCTCCATTCCCATCCCCAGGGAGCATTTTAGCCTCAGGGTCTCATCGAGATCTTTCTCTCGCCCATCTACCCGGTGATGACCGAACACTTTGGTGAGCCGAGCCCAACAATCGACGCCCTAAGGCCCGCTCAAACCTGCTTCGAGACTCATCATCTTGTTTTCCTAAAATGTGTTTCTCAACAAGGATCTCAGAGGCAGATAGAGCCCGCAGTTTCCCACGTCATGGAGACGTGTTCAGGATGTGTTGTTCGTTCGTCTGATGCACATCCAGCTGTCAAGGTCGTTGGCAGTTGTCCCCCCCCCCCCCCCCCCCCCCCCCTTTTTTTTTCCGGGGCGCACCAGGAAAGTCCCGGTCGGGACGCGCCATGCCGAAACGTGATGATTCGTCCTAGGTCGTCCGTGGTGCCGATAAAAGGGCTGAGGTATTGCCCGGGGTTGGTTGGCGGTTGGTACGTTGGCCCGCTGGGGAAGGCTGGCTCGGAGGTTTTTCTTTTCGATGACATCCCTTCAGACCCCCTTTTTTTCAACCCCCGACCGGCGGGCGGCGCGTGGAGCATGATGCGGGACTTGATGACCTCGCCGTGACTGTCATGCTTTGCGCGGCCGGTCGGGAGCAGAAGCTAGGGATGCAGACTTGCGTCAGTCCAGCCCTCGGCGGCAGAGCAATAAAGGGGGGAGAGGGGAGAGGGGGGAGAGAGAGTGTAAACGCTATTTGCCTGGATTAGGCAAGGGGGGAATACAAAGGCGTGAGACGGCCCAGCTGGATGTAGCTGTCCCCCGAGATGTATGCGCCGCAGATCTCGACTATCAAAAGTCTAAGTCGCCGATTCGTTCATTCATAGATTCATCTCCATTATGATCCCATCACGGGCACAAGGCCTCCTGGCGGCCACCGCCCTCGCGGCCATCCTCCCCCTCGCGGCGGCATCCCCCATTGAGACCCAGATCCCCATTCAGCCGCTCTATGCCTACGAAACCACCGGCACCGGCGACGTCAAGCTCGAGACGGATTTCCCAGACCCCTGCATTCTCCAGGATGACGACGGTCTGTGGTACTCCTTCGCCACAAACTCGGGCGGCCGCAACGTCCAGGCCGCCGTGGCGCCGGACCCGCTCGGCCCGTGGACGTACCTCGACGGCGACGCCATGCCCGACCACAGCTGGACGAGCGGGCGCAACACGTGGGCGCCCGACGTCCGGCGCACGGGCAACGACAGCTACATCCTCTACTTCTCCGGCGAGCTGCCCGACGCCGAGGGCCGACACTGCGTCGGCGTCGCGCTGGCGGACACCATGACGGGGCCGTACCGGCCGATGCCCGAGCCCTGGGCCTGCCACCTCGACGAAGGCGGCGCCATTGACCCGGCGGGCTTCCACGACGTCGGCACGGGGCGGAGGTACGTCGTGTACAAGGTCGACGGCAATCACGACGGCAACGGCGGCGACTGCGGCAACTCGGTGGACCCCGTCGTGTCGACGCCCATCATGCTGCAGGAGGTCGGGCCGGATGGGTTCACCAAGATTGGCAACCCCGTGCAGATCCTCGACCGCACCGAGGCCGATGGCCCGCTCGTCGAGGCGCCGGATATCGTGAGGCTCGAGGATGGGACCTATGTGCTCTTCTTCAGCAGTTGGTGCTACGCTTCGGATAAGTATAATATTAATTACGCCGTCAGTCGCAGAGTTGAGGGCCCGTATATCAGGTCGTTGAGGCCGTTGCTGCAGACTGGGGATTATGGACTTAAAAGTCCTGGTGGTGCGACGAGCATTATAAACGGCGGGCAGATGGTATTCCATGCAAACTGCGACAAGGGCAGGTGTCTGTATGCCACGCGGTACGCCGTGTTAGGGCTGGACGCTATTATTTGATGGAGGGTGATATGGAGGGCATGAGACGAAATCTAGACTCTAGACGATGACATTGGCGATACCATAGATAGACTACCGGACGAAAAAGCCGGGTAATGATTATGACTGTTTCAAACAAAACAAAGTGGTTCGGTTCACCTTCTGTTTCGCTACATATGTATGGAGGTCATTCGGTAATCGTTACAGCATGCCATCCCAGCAGAGTATCATAAGTACTTTACGGGCGTCTCGTGAATGTCAATGGGCACTCGTCCTACGTTACAGGTTAGCAAAGAGAAACGACAACTGCAGTTGAGACGGAATAAACAGAACTCACCATGGGAAACAGCGTCGCAAACACCCGAATCTCCTCGGACCGCTCTGTAGCATGGTGTTTCCAGTCGAGCTCCAGCGCCGCCTTTCCAATCATGCCCGCCATTGACAGCGGCACATATCGCCTGGCAAGACAGTCATGCGGCCCGGCCCCAAAAACGAGCCAGTTCTTCGTCTTGGACTCGGCGTCGCCCGTGATCCACCGATCGGGATCGAACACGTCCGGATGGGGATAGACATTCGGGTCGTGCAGGGCTGGGTAGCACGACGGCACAATCATCGACCCCTTGGGCACGGTATAACTCGGTGTAACGGGAAAATTCTTCGTAGCGAGGTAGGGCACAAAGATGACGGGCGGCCTGTGGCGCAGAAGCTCCTTGATGACGGCGTGCGTGTAAGTCATATTCTCCCACATGGACAGGTCGAACGACTTTGTCCGATCGCCGCCCCGGACGTTGAGGTTCTCCTCGCGCAGTCGGTCGAGCACATCAGGCCTCTGCGCGAGAACCTGGAACAGCCAGGTAGTGGCACTGCTCGAGGCGTCCTGCGACGCAAATAGGAACGTAAAGAGCGTCTCGCTGATCTCCTCGTTGGTAAACTCGCGGATCATATTCTTTGGCTTCTCGGCATCGGTGTCTCCGGCAGCAACATTTTCGCGGTACTTCTCCGACTCCATCATGTGCAGCACCCACTGATCGACGATGCAGGTCGGCGCCGCGCCCGTAGCCATGTTCGCTTTACATGCGGCGGCACATTTCGCAAACTCGACGTGCACGGCGTCGGCGGTACGCTTACCCAGCCACGTCTTGGTAAAAGGAACATACATGGACAGAGGAACATTCACGAGCTCAAGGGCCTCCGTGACGAGATAAAAGTCGTCGGCAATCTTCTTGACGGCGTCGTCGGAGATGTAGTCGCCAAAGAAGGTGCGGCACGATAGTGCGCAGTTGATCTCGCGGAACAGGCCCATAAATGGGGCGGGGCGTCCGCCGTTCGCTTCCGTCATGGAGATGAACTTGGAAAAGTAGACGTCGAGAACCCGATCCTGCACGGGGAGATACGTCGAGATGGCTTGGTTCGTGAAGAGAGGCTTCAGCCCACGGCGGTACTCGGCGTGAGTTGTGCCTTGAAGGAAGACCCAGGCCTTGTGGCCGAGAATATCCTTGGCGATGGGCACGATGCAGGGCTCAGCATGAGAGGGGGTCTTGAAGACCTTGTGGGCGATGTCTCTGTCGGAGGCGAGAACGACAAACCTAGAGAGATACATGTTAGCATCACTGACGGGACATGTCTTAACAGGGCAGTCTAGTGGATGGTGGTCCGCACTTGTGGAAGACAGAAACACAACTCAGAGGTCCGCTGGCCCATTGAACAAGGTAGGATTCGAATTTGGGATGCAGAGCCTGAATGAAGGGACCCATGAGAGGGATCTTGAGCCGGGGACCTGCGATTGACCCTTTTCGCTTGATGTACATGACTGGTGGTTCTGATGTTAGTATGGGTCATCCTGGTGATCTGTGCTGCATAGTACCTTGATCATAGACGATAATACCGAGCAAAAGCGTCACAGCGTATTGCCATGCTGCCCATCCTGCGATCAACTCTGGCAAGATGTCTCGTGACTGAGGGGTGCTGGAAGGCCATGCCTGTGGCAGCCCAGACGGCACGCCGGTGGTGTTGAGGAAGTCAGCATCCATTTTCCAGAAACCAATAATTCCCGTTTCAACGAGCTGCCGCAGAAATTGATGGACATCATGTTTCTCTCTTATAGATTGCCGCTGATCGATGGCTCAGGCAACGTGGTGGGCCTTGAAGCTGGATCGGACATTCGGGTCAAGGCATTGATTCCTTGTGACCCCGACGGCTTCCGCTCGGGCCATAAAGTGGCTCCATAGCAAGCAAAAAACAGGTAACGATGCAGTGAGCAACATGCTTAAAAAGCTCCTCTCGATGGGCTGTCGGTAATCGGATGACACTCGGAAGTGTTTGTGGAGGGCATCGCGACATGATAGAAGTTGCCAACAAGGGGCCTGATTGGGACTAGACTCCGATTGCCTTCGACATGCCAAGTGCGATGGCATGCCTCTGCGGAGTCTAGTCCTCTTTGGGTCAAGACCCAGCTCCAGTCATGGTACGTACCTTCCAAGGCACGCACCTTCCTGGTGCGCCTGACTCCTCGAGATCCGGGGGTCCGACGATGACAGGATGAACCTTAGACATCGATGCTGCATCTTGTGGGAGTTGCCCTGTCTTACTTTCTCGGGTCATCTCGACTCAAGATGCGCCAGACGCTTCGACGGTCCTGTGCTGCCTGCGCACGATCAAAGCACAGTTGCGACCTGCGCACGCCGCGCTGCTCTCGCTGCCTCAAGCGCAATGTCCAATGCCTCTACGCCAACGAGCCCTTGACAGCGTCACCAGTCTCCTCCGATCATCCCGGCCGAGAGGAAGCGTGGGCGTCAAGGCCTTCCAGTAGCCCTAGCGCGTTGACCACCTACAGGTTTGGATCTCTGGATCCATTCGACTCGTATCCACAGACGAGACTTCCGAGGGCACAGGTGCAACGTCTCATCCATAGCTGTATGTACATCGTACGTTGCTGCTTCAACGCTCACTCGTCCGTCCGAGGTGGCTCACAGCTTCAGTCCACAATAAGATCGCTTTCCAATATTATCCCCTGGACCTGAGCGCAACATCAAATCCGTTTCTCGTTTCCTGGTGGCCGCTTGCGCTGGGCGACCCTGCCCTTTTCCACGTGTCACTGCAGACGGCATGTCTAGACGAGGAGCTGCTCGCTCAGAAGGGCTTCCAGTCGTCGGAAGTTCTGATGGTCGACTCTGTGGCTCTGCTGCGACGGAAAGTCGAGGACTTGTCGTTGGCTGTACAAGATGGCACGCTGAACTCGGTCATTACACTGGCGACGATAGAGGTCGGTTTCTTCCGTGCAACGTCTTTGAGTCTTCTGTTCTGACCTCATGTCTCCCAGTACGGTAAAGGCAATATTGAAGTGAGCCACACGCACGTTGAGGGAGTCAAAAGACTGGTCCAGCTGAGAGGCGGCATCAATGCCGTCCGGCAGACCAGCCCTCTCACGGCAAGGATGGTGAGCTGGTATGTTCTTCTGCCCCCATGATAAATACTGCAGAGTCACACTGACAGACCGTAAGGGCATCGATGCTCATCATGGGTCACCCACAATTTGAAACCCAAGACGATGCCGGCATCGGGGACGGCATACCGCCTATCCCAGAGTGGCAGCTTGAGCCAGTCGGCCTTGACGATGGCCATGTTGATCTCGCCCCCTACGAGATTGACTACGCCGTCAGCAACGTCGTTGGTCGCCTGCGGAGTGTGTTCCGGCAGGCGGAGCAAGTGCATTTTTCGACAACACGACTTCATGACCTGACATGTTTTGTCGTCCATCGCCTTCTGCGGACGTCACCAGATCCGCCAATGTCGGCCCCATCGCCCATGAGCCAATGCCTGCGGTACGCTACTGCGCTCTACATGTTCATCATCCAGGGACCAACTTATTACCCACATACTGTCATCATGGGCGATGTCATCAGGAAACTGATCGAGAACCGAGAGCAGCTCGATCCTTCGCCCTTTGATATATGGATCTTCACCATCGGTCTCGCAGCCTCGGTGGGCACAGCACAGTACCAGTGGTTCCTCGAGAGGGCGCGAGCTGCGGCGACTAGCCTTCAGCTAAGAGAATGGAGCCATGTACTTGCGCATACCAGAGCTATATTGTGGTCCGAAACATTGTGCGAGGGGGATATCTTTCGGCCTGCCTGGGATGACATATTGTGCTCCCCGAGCAGCAGGACAGAGTCTCCAAGCTGGGTGGGTTGTATGATATCGCACGGTACTGATATAGGGCCTGTACGAATATGAGAGATTATGTCTTGTCACGGGGTCGAAGGTGCTGGTGATAAAGCCTCCTAGGCCAAACTTGCTGCAGCAGGTTGCAGATGATGAAGTCCGGATCTTGCTGGATTAAAGTTCGGTGCATGGCAAACAGACATTCCTGTGATCCTTGGGTGAGGTGGGTCAGAACAGGCTTCGGCTGTAGCCGAAGACCACGGCCCGCTGACACTAGCAACACCAAGTCGTGATACAAAGGTAGAACTCAAACCTTCGCCTCAATCCGTGCCGCCATTCCACACGACGCCCACAAAGCTCGTACCACCATGGGACCGTTTGTATGAGAGGCACCGCAGTCTACATAGAGCCGACAGGCCAGTGTCGTTTGTGTGAATCGGCAGAGCCTCTGTCTGGGCCACTCAGGCGCTGATCATTTACGCGCCCGTTTCCCAGCCACCATCACTCGTCGACGAAACGCCCAAAGCTCATTGGCCTTGCTCAGAACCTTCAATTGTTCACGCAAGCGCCCGTCGACAATGTCCATCTCACCGCTTGTACCACCACGGGGCCTTGCGACCATGTTCTTGCCTGGAACACTCTGCAGGTGACTTGGCTACCAGCGCTACACTGGCAACCTCCAGCCTGTCAGGCTCTGCAGCAGCTTGCTGTTCCGAGCGACACGGAGTCCCGGGCTTTCCTGCGATGCCTTTCGGCGTAGCATTCCTCGCGCTGACGATCCGCCATTGGTCGCGTTTGTACTTTGCGAGCCATCACGAAAGGCTCCCCTGCTGCATGAACATCTGCCGCTATCGATTGCTGCGAGCGGCAGCAGCCCACGAGCAGCCTCTGGGGATCGCGCTGGGGGGAGCATCTACTCCCCATCGGGAAGTGCATGTCTCGCGCTTGTCACGCGATAATCCTCGCGGTGACCCGCTGTGACGGGTTTCCCTCCCGCCTTGATCGAGCAAACAGGCGCCCCAGGGTTGCCGACGATCGTGTGATGGCCGACGCGGGCGGCATATATTATCACCAGCTGAACCCGTCATCGAGCCTCAGCGGGATGTGATTTCTCGTGTGTTTGTCGTCCGTCTTCCGTTTGAGTCGTGCCTTTTGGACTTGTTGTTTTGTTTTGATCCTCACTGCTCTTCACTTCTATCGCTCTTTAATCCTGAATCGTTCCGAGATACCCCCTTTTCGATACAAAATAATACGCGTTTGTGAAGCTGGCTCTGGCAGTCTGCTTCAAGAACATTCATTTGACTTCTACTTTCTCTTCTTGTCTCTGAGCGTCAGAAAAAATCCAAGCAAAACGACATGGCCGTCCTCACTCGCTGGCTCCTCGCCTCTTTTTTGGCTACCTTCGTTTCGGCGCTGCAGGTCACGCCGAACTCGCCCTGCGCGGAATTCTGTTTGGACAGCGAAGATCTTGATCGCTCTGACCCCGAGTCATCATCTACGCAGGCCCAGCAAATCACCTGTGACGACTCTGATTATCAGTCCGGCGCCAAGGGCCGCAAATTTCAACAATGCTTGACCTGTCTCCAGGAGTCACCTTTCGAGACTGCCTCGGAGAGTGATCAGCTGTGGTTCTTGTGTAAGTGGATTCTGCTTCCCTGCCTTTGTCTCACCGGGAAACTTACCGAGATCTTCAGACAACCTCAGATACACGCTTGGCCATTGTATTTTCGGTTTCCCCAACTCGACAGGCATCGGTTCAGGGCCCTGCCTCACTTCGTCTGCTTGCGGACCCTTGGAAGATGCCTTGACCGATGACCTGTCGGAACTGGACAGCACGTCGCAGTATGGATACTGCGATGCTGGTGGAGCGGCCATGACGTCCGATGCCTTTGGTCGATGCCTCGATTGTGTCAAGGTTGGGGGTGAACATCACTTGTTGTCCAACTGTAGGCCACCAGCCCAGCTCGTTCTTTTATATCTCCAGCTCACATCGTGCCACAGTCCTCGTAGCCTTGGATGCGGGTTGCCAGCAACGTCCCGATGCCGGCACTCTCATCGGCCTGAACGACACAATATTCAGCGCCACAGCGATAGAGGCCGTTGACCCCTCGACGCTGAAGACTAAGAAGCCGGAACAAGCGTCAGTGTTTACGCTTCCAGTAATCGTTGGCATCGCCATTGGCGGGTTTGTGCTCCTCCTCCTCGCCAGCGGCTGCGGCTACATGCACCACCGCAAACGCAAAGCCCGCCGCGAGAGCCAAAACATGTCAAAGAAAGGGGCCCGCCGCCACCGGCCGGCGTCGTCGCTCTCGTTCCGCTGCCAGACGCACCTGACACCCAGGTCACCAAGCTTCTTCCCCATCGGGGAAGAGGAGCCGACCACGCGCGAGAAGCCCTTTGTCGACCCGGCCGCGGCGCTCACCTCGAACCCATCCATCTCGACACCCACGCGCAGCGCCTGGAACCAGTCGTCCGCAAGCCTGCCGCCCGCCCAGCCCTGGCGAGGCGCAGCACCGCCGCAGGGCCACGCCAAGGATGCCCTCTCCTTGAGCACCATCCTGCCCAGCCACGCGCAGTCGTCCCTCTACAGACCCTCGCCGACAGACTACGCGACGCCAACGTCGACGACCTCGACCCGCTCCACGACTGCCCTCCTGCCCGTCCACCACGCCCCGCGCACCGCCTCGTACGGCGCCTCCGCCCCGCCCCGGCCCCCGCGCAGCCCGGCCGCGGAATCGCACGGCTCGCCGCTCCTCGCGGGCGCCACGGCGAGTCCCCTCCTCTCGCAGCGGAGCTGGCCCCCACAGCCGGTCCAGCCGCGAAGCGACGCCGTGTCGTCGCCGCCGCCGAGGCAGAGCCACCCGCAGGGCCAGGTGCTGAACATCCTGCTCGGCAGGGAGTCCATTGCGCCTGTGGCGCAGAAGAGAGGCGTGCCGGCGCCGGCGCCGTTGGGGGGCGGGAGCCCGACGGAGAGCCGGACGCTGCAGACTTCTTTCCCGCCGCCGCCGTCGCCGAAGAGGAGGTAGAGGCTTCTTTCTGTGTGGGTGGAGTTTGGACGGCCGGAAAGCGAGGGCGAATAATGTGATGAAGCTGCTCTTGTATGACTGAAGGCTACGTGTAATGGGATCTAGCGAGATGAACAGATGAACAAACATACAAGTCTACCTCACCCGCCAACATGGAGTGATACCTTGTCCAGTGAGGATGCAAAACCCATGAAGTGGATGCGAGCAATATGAAGCATGGTCGACAATGCCTGGCATGTATCGAACAGTGTTGGTATTTCAAAATAAATCACGCTCCCCAGCGTGTATGCCGGTGCTTTCATTCCAGTTTCCGCCCGGAGCTCAACGTCTCCTAAAACGCCTGGCCTGCTTTGTCTGACACGATGCAAATCCGTTCTAGTCCCTCGTACAGCCCCCCCCCCCCCTTCCTCATAGCCGCTCGCCCCATGCCGAGCTGCTCCTCCTGCTCAGAGCCTCCTCCTGCTGCATCATCTCGCTCTGCTCCCTGAACCAGCCAGCCCCTTCGTCCAGTTCCATCCTCGAGCTCCTCAGGGCGCTCAGCGTCTCCTTGGCGTCACGCAGGATCTGCTCGAGATCCGCGTTGCCGGCTGCCTTCCTCTTCTTCGTGTCGCTATCGACTGCCGTGCTCTGCTCGTCGTCGACTGATCTCTTTCGCTTGATCGTGGTGGGCGAGGCGCCCCTGGGCCCTTTGGCTTCGGATGCCGATCGGTTGTGGAAAGACTGCGAGAAGCGCTCGCGAGCGGCGGCGGCGGCCCCGACATCCGCAGACGTGCTACGGCTGCGGTGATGCGTCTTCGAGTCCAGCCCAAACGAGCCCCATCCATCGTACCTGGCTCCGTCATACCGCATCGAGTTGGCGAGCGATTCCGGCAGAGCGGTTCCATCTGGCATTGTAACAAGGCCCATAGCCTTTAGGCGCCAACGATCAGATACCCTGCTTTGGCGCTTGGAAGGTTCGCTCGGCGACGGAGACGCCCGGAAAGAAGAGCTGCCGGTGCTGGACGGCAGCGAGCGACGGAAGGAAGTCGAGCGGTTGTTGGTGCTGGCGCTGAACTTCTCCCGCAAGGCCTGCGTCTTGGCACTACCAGGCTTGGCCGATTCAGACCGAGAGATGCTGACGTTGCTGGGAGGCAGCGACTTCTTCCACTTTTTCGGCGTCGGTGCTGCTGGCGGGGGCATGTGGTGTCTAACGATGCTGGCAATCGCTTCGCGTTCATCGTGGATGCCTGCCAGGATACCGCTGGCCCAGAGCGCATCCTCGTGGTCCTGCGACTTGTCCTTCTGCATCTGGAGCAGGTCTCTGAACTCGTCGACCGGGTCGATGCCCTTGCTGCGCTGGAGAGCGGCCAGTCGAGCGGCTTCGACTTGCTTCGCCTTCTTCTTCCGCGCCGCCTCGGCGGCAAATTTCTCGGCCAGCGCCGCCTTGTATTCCTCCCGATCCCTGACACGACGTCTGTGTAGACGATTCTTCCGTGCGATTTCCCTCCAACGGTAGAAAAACTTGACGCTGAGGTTGTAGACTTGAAACTTGCGAGCTTCCGCCAAGTCTCTTTCCTCCTCTTCTCTGCGTTTCCTCTCTGCTTCTTCCTTGACAAACTCGTCATACGTCTTTTTGACAATCTGCTCCACCATGTAGACCTCAAACTCTTGCAGTAGCCCTTCGTCACCCTTGACAAACCAATTCGTGAAATCCGCCATAAGGTCCCTCTTTGGCGCAGGGGGAGCTGCTGGCTGGCTGGGGGCTGACACCGCTGCTGATGTCGGAGTGGCCGCGACCGTGGCTGGAAATGCCGCTGCAGTTCCGGGCGGAGTAGTCGAGGTCGAACCACCCAAGATACTTTGCTGTGGTCCTGCAGGTAGGGTTGAAGTCAAAGACTTGGGCGCCTCGGATATTTTTTGCTTTATCGCCGCATCTTGCGGGATGGCTGGCGTTATCGGTGGCGGACTTGTCACACTAGGGAACGGGGACACGGTCTTGCCAGGTGACAGTGTAGCTGCTGGGGGAACCGCCACCCCAGTGCTTGTGGTAGGTGGGAAAGAGAAAGGGGAAGATGTGGTAGTCTTCGGCGTCCCTGTTGTGCCAGTTGGTGGTGGGAACGACAACTGCGGCGTCTCTAATGTCGCAGCTGTGCCTGAAAGTGTAGGGAACTTGCTTTGCCCTGAGATAGACTGGCCTTCGTCGGCACTCGGAACAGGCTTTGATTGATCAGCTCCAGCTGGGGGAGCCGCGAATGGACTGGTAGGTTTCCCCACCGTCTTGGAGAGGCCTGCAAAGGGGCTCGAAGATTCTGAGGACAGGCTTGGCTGTTGTGTTGTTGCCGGAGCTTGTGAAAAGGGGCTGCTGAAAGGTGATGCCGCCGAGTGTGGGAGTTTAGTGGAGGCATCAACAGCGGCGGGGGCGGACACTTCGGTGGGTTTCCCGAATGCACTGAAAGGGCTGGGTATCGTGGGCGTCTCTTTCGCCTTTTGAACGGTAGCTGCTGACTGCGCGAAGGGGCTGGCGAACGGAGACGGCTTCTCGCTGGAAGAACCTCCTGCAAGCTGTGGTGTAGAGGCGAATGGGCTCGAGAATGCTGAGGGTTGCGGCGGAGGCTTTTGTCCCGTGGCAGCGCCCAACGAAGCAAATGGGCTCCGCGCCGCGGGCTGTGAAGAGGTTGTTTGGAAAGGGCTAGGAGTGGTGCTTGAAGGCTGGCCAAAGGAGGGCGTGGAAAATGGACTTGTAGTGGTCCCGCCATTGGTTTTTGCGAATCCATTGGATGATACTAGAACACAAGTCAGTCTCACATCTCTTTGTCAAGGTCCCCCAATTGAGGTGCCACAAAGAGACAATAGTACCTTGGCTGAAGGGGGTTTCTGTTGGTTGGGTAGTTGCGAAACCGTTTGTCAGCTTCTGAAAGCCCTGCAACGCCGAAGCATTAGGCGTGCTCTGAGACTTTGCTGTACTCCGCAAGAATGGCTTCTCAGTGCCGGACCGGTTTGAAGCCGCCGTTGCTGAAGGATCTTCGTATACTGAGCGGTGGATAACTTCGGAAAGACTTCGAGAGCCTCGCTTCTTCTCCACAATGGTTTCTGAGGTTGTGTGATGAAGCCGCGGGAACTCCATACCATCGGTCGTCCTCAGGTATTGCCTGTATTCATCGTCCGGCGAATCCTCAAGAGGGACCCAGCTCATGCCGTGTTCCTCGACAAAATCGATTGCTTCGTCCTCGGTGTCGAACCTCAGGAAGGTATTTAGCAATGCGGGCGTGATGTCCCTCGCCAAAACTTTCGGTCTCCAGTAAGCTCGTCGTAAGGTCTTGAGCATCGATCGCCGCAGCTGGCCAAAGTGAATCTCCGCAAAACAGGCCATGGTATAGGACACTTCGGGGTTCTCGACGATCTTGAAGTACGTGTTGTAGGCTCCTGACACTGCCAGGTGCGGCGCGGTACCCATAGGACCATGCAAATCAGTAGTGCTCTGCAACGCCTCGACTAGAGAGACGGCGGTTCTAATCTCGTCAGAGTCCTTCCATAGTCGAGGGTTCGCCCATTCCTGCTGGACGTTGTCGAGGATATTTGGTTGATTGGCGCTGAAGAGAAGCTGGTAGGCCCTGAACTCTGTTTCGTTTTCACAAACAAGGCCTTGCGCCTTGCTGTCGTCGTAGGCGTGCATCAGTGAAAGCAATGCTTTGCCGAGCTGTTCAATCTCCTGCTGCTCCGAAAAGTCCTCTGGCGTCACGTCGGGGCGGGACAGCAGGTGCAGCGAAGTGACGTGGAAACGCGCAATTGTCTCGAGACAGTAGACCTGGTCCTTCATCTCTTCGGCGCTCATGCTTGAGTGGAAGATGAAGTCGCGTCGAATGGCTCGTGTGCGATCCCAGAGATAGCCGTGCAGGACTGGCAGATTGTCTTCGTCCTCGAGGAGGTCGTCCACCAAGTAGTCGAGCGTCCGGCGGAGCGCTGCAGTCGATCGAACGTCCATTGGTAGGGGAGCTTCCTGGCCTGCCGCCGATCTGGCCAGTTTCTTCACCATCTTGCTGATGACGGGAAACGACGTCTGCGAGTCCTTTTCGGCTTGTTGCACGTCAAACTCGGTGATGCGCGTGATCTTTTCGAAATTGGGGCACATATCCTCACAGATGCCCTTGAAATCAATGGCGTCTTCCAGGCGTTTTGGCTTGTCGGGGTCGTCAATCAGGCCAGCAGCCATCAAGGAAGCGCGCCCCCGGTCGCGATACGACTTGGATGTCTCTCTGTATTTTGCCATGGCGCCCTTGGACGCTGGGTTCCCGGGGTCGGATGGCCATTTCGGTGGGAGGATTCTGTCTTTTCGCAACTGGTCGTAGATTCGCTTGGCATACGTGCTGTTTGCTTCAGTATCGTAGGTGCCGGGATCAGTGTCATAATCGGTCGTGTCGGTGCCAAAAGCGGTCACGTTGGATGGTCGAGGCTTCGAAGTGTTCGCGTTCTTGCCGTTCGTCGTCGTCACCTTCTTTCTGCGGTCGAGAGCGCCATTGCCCTTGCGCTTCCGACCATCGTCGGAGCTTGCGCCATCTGCGGGACTGCCGGCTCGTCGTTTGGCTCCGAAGCCGTTCATCGTGTCGCGCTGTGTCGTCGTTCGGTTGCGCTTGGCCCAACGAACGTCGCCCGCGCCATCGAGGCCAGTGATGCTAGGCTCTGCGATGTCAGCGGCGCTTGGAGCGAGTGCGCCGAAGATGCGCGGCTTGGGGCTGCGACGACCGAATGTGGGATGGTGGTGTTGATGGGTTGAAGCGGTGGTTGGGGATGAACGATTGGACGTTACACGGTGAGATTTTCGTGACGAGGCTGGATGTTGTAGCACCTGGAACTGTAGCTCGCGCGCAAGTGGAGCCATTGAACCAGACCAGACACTCCCTGAGAGGGAGCTCGGCCCTGGGGCAGAAGGTGACCTGAACTTGGAGCTAGGGGGGTAGTCTCCTAGGGGGTGGGGGGTGGCCTTGGAGAAGTCGTGCCGGGGGTTTGCAGTGGGGTGGGACTGAGCTGGGAGGTGCCTCAGGTACCTTGCGATCACGTTGATCTTGTCCTCTTAAATCGTTGCATCTGAGGAGATAATGGAGGGTTGCGTGGCATCCACTCCTTTGTTTCTTGATATTGTGATGTGATTCTTTAAGAGGTCGGTTTCATCACAACCTCCTGCCGTGATCGGATCGCTGGATATAGCACAAGCGGCGTATGCACTTCCCAGGCCGTATAGGCTTTCCTTTCAATAGGTACCTACCAGGTAGGTACTTCAGGTAAGGTAGGTAGGTAGGTACATCCAAATCTCAAGGCTTGCAAAACGACATTCACCCCCTTCTCATACACTACTCAACAGCACTCCAAGTTGAAAAGAATGGGTATCATTAGGTCGTTACAGTGGCTTTCACGGCCGTCTAGTCTTTCATTACCTGTAGCCTTGAGGCCGCAGACGCGCAGGTCCCAGACCCCTCCTGATCTCGTCCAGCTGCTCGAGACCAGTCTGGGGCCGCGCCTTCTTGTTCGTGCGCTTGCCAGGCTTTGTGAATTTACCCAAAAAGTCGTCCAAAATATTGTCCAAATCGTGACGAGTCTCGCCTTGCACACTCGACATGGCGGACACGGCTGAAACAGAGCCAAGGTCGTCCCCTCCGCCCATCTCGCTCGTGTACTCCTCCTCTATCCTGTCAAACCTGGCGTCCAGGAGGGTCAACTGCTCCGTCCTGACCATGGATGACGAAGTCATCGAGTAAGACGAAGGGTTGGTCAGCGCTCCCTTGCGCTTCTTGCGACGACCGCCCATCGTTGTCGTGGTCCACATAGACGACTGAACCTCGGACGGATCCACTGCCGCACCACGAGGCTTGACGCCGGGGTTCTTCTGGTCCTTCTTGAACTGCTTGAAATCTTCCAGCCAGTCCTCGTTCTGATCAGCCGCCGTAGGCTCTGCGCCATCTATGGTGACGAGCTCAGGTGCAGCATCGTCATTGTACTCCTTGTTCGGCTTGGCCGTGTGGTCCGACTCCCAGCCATCGTCTTCCTCGCCGAACTGATCCTCAAACTCGTACTGAGAAATCTCCCGTCCGTCCTTGGCCAGCTCCTGGAAAATGTCGTCGTCTTCCTCGACGTAAGCGTCGTCATCAAGGGCCTCGAGAACCTCTCGAAGACGCGGGTCCATGTCGGGCTGAAGACCGGCAATAGCGTCAGGGATGTCTTGCTGAGACTGGTAGTTGGCCTTGGGAAGACCCTGCGCAAAGCGGGCATCGTCACCAAGCGAGCTGGGGTCGTCCTTGACATCTAGCCCGCGGATCGCGTCCTCGAGTGACTGGGTCTGCTTTCCCTTGCCCTGGTTCTTAGGCGCCTCGGCCTCGACCCACACGGCCTCGCCAGCGCCCGTGTTCAGGTCGCGCATGTGCTGCATGTAGTCGTACTCGGAGTCATCGTAGTAGATGCCGTATTCGGCGGCCTCACCCTCGTTCTGACGGATGCCCGAAATATCGGAACCGAATTCTGAGGCCAGGTCATCAAGGTGCTTAGTCTTCGATCGCGCGGATGTAGAGGTCTCGCCGCGCTGAGGGGTCGGGTTGAACACCATGGACGGTGCATTCTCGTCGTTGATCAGAGGATCATTCTGAGGCCGATGGACGAGTGTGAAGTGCTGCGCACTCTTCTTGTCACTGGAGGCGGAACATGAGTATTTGTTCTCGTCGACCATGCGCGGGGTTAAGTTTGACTCACATCCACTTTCCCTTCGCCATGTTGATAGTGTTAATCTCAGACTTTGCCCTTTGAGGATTCGGATTTCGACAGCGCCTGACGTGAAATGTGTGACGAACTTGCGTGTTTCTCGCTCTTGGGCATCAACCAGCACACAAGATTAGTGGTTTTGTCCGTCGCTCCAAATTCCCGATCCAAAATTTGGGAATGGAAAAGTCCCTGATGGTGGGGTTTATCTAATCACCCAAGGCTGAGCGATAACACTGTGCTGCTGGTGTCATTTAGGCTCCAAGACAGTGCGAACATGGGCCAAATGACGTCGAAACAGAAAATTTGCCCCGCGTCGCATTATTCAGCGGGGCAATATCAGGTACGAACGGCGACTCATCCTCGACCGCTCTGCTGAACCCAACCCTTTCACCACCATCGACAATAGTCATATTACTTGAGTGTGTTACCTTTGATCGATCTCAAGATGCCGAAAGCGAAGAAGAACACCCTTGGTCTGGGGAATACCCTCATGAATGACCGTTTCGGCAAAGGAAACGGCCAGGACAGGAAGAGGGGTTCCGCCATCACGCGTATCAACCATGCGACTGGAGAGGAGGTAAGTACCCATGTGCTTCAGTCGGCAACATCATCTCACATGGGTTCTAGTACGTCACGAATGAGAAGAAGGAGGCCTCATGGGTCAAGATGCGATCCGTCACTGAGCAGGGCGCTCTCGACGAGTTCCTGGCGACGGCTGAGCTCGCCGGAACAGACTTCACTGCTGAGAAGACGAGCAACATCAAGATCATTCACACTGACCAGAAGAACCCTTACCTCCTTTCTGGCGCCGAGGAGCGCGACGTCCTGGGCAAGCAGCGGGCTCACAAGGGCAAATTGACGGTGCCGAGGAGACCGAAGTGGGACGAGTCCACGACACCCGAGCAGCTCGACACCCTCGAGCGCGAGAGCTTTTTGGACTGGCGCCGAGGCCTTGCCGAGCTCCAGGAGAACAACGACCTGCTTATGACTCCGTTTGAGCGAAATCTCGAGGTGTGGAGGCAACTGTGGCGTGTCATCGAGAGGTCCGATCTCATCGTGCAGATTGTCGATGCTCGTAACCCTCTCCTCTTCCGATCCGACGATCTTGACAGCTACGTCAAGGCTGTCGATAAGAGGAAGGAGAACCTGCTGCTCATCAACAAGGCCGACATGATGACAGTGAAGCAACGAAGGATCTGGGCGAAATACCTGAAGGAGACTGGTATCGCCTACAAATTCTTCTCAGCCTTCTTGGCGAAGGAGGCTCTCGAGGCAGAGGAGGCAGAGGCCGAGGCCGAGTCGCAGGACGCAAGCTCCAAAGCCCCGCAACGGGATGCAGGCGAGCAGCAGGACGAGTCGGAGGAGTCGAGCGAGGAAGAAGAGGAGGCTGGAGAAGAGGCAGATGTCGAGGTTGATGATGAGGATATCAGGATATTGACGGTCGAGGAGCTGGAGGACATCTTCTTGAGCCACGCGCCGAAGGATGCCGGTAAGTTCTCTACGAAGCGTGTGAATGACGAGAAGAACCGCTGACCCTTTCCTACCAGCACCGGATCACAAGCTCTCGGTCGGTCTCGTCGGCTACCCGAACGTCGGAAAGTCATCCACTATCAACGCCCTCATCGGAGCCAAGAAGGTGTCTGTATCCTCAACACCGGGAAAGACCAAGCATTTCCAGACCATCCACCTCAGCGAGAAGGTTATTCTCTGCGATTGCCCAGGTCTTGTGTTCCCCAACTTCGCCAACACCAAGGCCGATCTTGTTTGCAACGGTGTCCTCCCCATCGACCAGTTGAGAGAGTTCACCGGCCCCGCTGGCCTCGTCGCCCTCAGGATACCCAAGCACTTCCTCGAGGCTGTGTACGGCATCACCATCAGGACCCGGGCGCTCGAAGAGGGCGGTACCGGCAAGCCCACCGCCTCAGAGCTTTTGAGGGCGTACGCCAGGGCGCGTGGATACCAGACGCAGGGTCTTGGACAGCCTGACGAGTCCAGAGCTGCACGCTACATCCTCAAGGACTACGTTGCAGGCAAGCTCCTGTTCTGCCAGCCTCCCCCGAACACGGTCGACGCCAAGGAGTTCAACTCCGAGCTCTACGACGACGAGCACCTGCCCGAGCACCGCCGCGGCCATCTCGTTCCTGTGATGGAGGACCTGAGCATTGCGGGAGACGACGAATCAACCATGGCCTCTGACTTTGTAGCGTTGCCTGCGGGTCCCAAGTCGAAGCAAATCGACAGCGGCTTCTTCGGCCCTGGCAGCAGTAGCTCAGGCCATCTCAAGATGCCTTTCAGCCACCAGTATTCTCAACAAGGCAAAGCAGGACCCAAGACACTGAGCGGCAGGAAAGCCAGAGCGATCGTCGCGCTGGAGAATGGGCTGGACCCCAAGGACGTGCAGATCATGTCGAGCAAAAAGCACTTCAAGGGTGGCCCGAAGAACGGAAAGGCGAAGAAGCGTGCGGTCGACCTGGATGATGATTGAAGCAGATAGCCAAAAGCATGATGGATTTCAATGAATTAAGGGATATGACATCGAATATTGAGGTTCTCACGGTGCGATTTGTGAGTAATGTATTTGATGTGCTGTGAGTGTAAAGCATCACCGCAAGTTCATGTCGATGGGGATTGAAGCTGTGGTGGGGCGTCTGCACGAATAGGGTCTAGCGTTGTGCGCGCGTCTTCGCGTCGCCCTCCCTTCGCGTTAAGTGCCTACCATGCCACGGACTTTCTTCAGTGCTCAGTAGGTTCTTGTACAGCCTCCTGACCAGGGAATCAACCGACAGATACAACACGATGCCGGCTCAGAAGAACGTGCAAAAGCCGGAGGAGGCGGGAGAGTCGTCATTATCAGTAGCCACGACAGCAGTCTCAACAACTGCCAATGGCGCTCCGACATACGAGCTCCCTTGGTAAGTCAAAGTCAGAACCCCCCGCAACAAGCTGAAGGAAGCTCACGATGCTTGCAGGGTCGAAAAGTATCGCCCGGTATTCCTCGATGATGTCGTCGGCAACACGGAAACGATCGAACGATTGAAGATTATTGCGAAGGAGGGCAACATGCCGCATGTCATCATCTCGGGCATGCCTGGTATCGGAAAGACAACGAGCGTACTCTGCCTGGCACGGCAACTGCTCGGAGAGTCGTACAAAGAAGCCGTGTTGGAACTGAACGCCAGTGACGAGCGAGGTACGCCGCAGCTACGCTCCTTCTCAAGTTCTGCACGTCGCTAACAGCTGGCTCCAGGCATCGACGTCGTCCGCAACCGCATCAAGGGCTTCGCCCAGAAGAAAGTCACCCTCCCCCAGGGCCGCCACAAGCTCGTCATCCTTGATGAGGCCGACAGTATGACATCGGGCGCGCAACAGGCTCTCCGCCGTACGATGGAGATTTACTCCAACACGACCCGCTTCGCCTTCGCCTGCAACCAGTCCAACAAGATCATCGAGCCGCTGCAGTCGCGATGCGCCATCCTACGCTACGGCCGACTCACGGACGCGCAAGTCGTCAAGAGGCTCATGCAGATCATCGAGGCAGAGAGTGTGCAGTACAGCGACGACGGACTGGCGGCACTGGTCTTCTCTGCCGAGGGAGACATGAGACAAGCCATCAACAACCTGCAGAGTACCTTTTCGGGCTTCGGTTTCGTCAGCGGAGACAACGTCTTCAAGATTGTGGACAGCCCGCATCCTGTCAAGGTGCAGGCGATGCTGAAGGCTTGCTACGAGGGAAACGTCAACTCTGCGTTGGATATCCTGCGGGAGCTGTGGGACCTGGGCTACTCAAGCCACGACATCATCAGTACCATGTTCAAGGTCACAAAGACGATCCCAACGCTGAGCGAGCATTCGAAGCTGGAATTCATCAAGGAGATTGGCTTCACGCACATGAAGGTGCTGGAGGGCGTGCAGACGCTGCTGCAGCTGAGCGGGTGCGTGGTCCGGCTTTGCAAGATCAACATGGACCCGAAGCGGTTCGAGGTGGCGACCAAATGAACGCCATTGCAGGCGAACTAGGCAGTGGATGTGATGAAATGCATGAATCGGCGTTGGACTGGGCCTCGGGGTTGAGAATGATACACCAAAAACCAGGGATCAACGGTTATGATATTGTACAGAGGTCTACAAAGACAGGTCCATAATGTGGCTCTTCGATGTGACCCAATCGTTGACCTTTCTAGACATGACTTTTTACCTCAATTGTCGCTCTTTTTGGGCTCTGGCTCCGCATAGGAGTCCTCGAATTCCTTCCATTTTGCCCGGTCTCTCAGGATGCGCCGCTGCATCCTCATGCGGGCCTCGTACTCTCGTAGCCGTGAGTCGGCCTCGATCATGCTACCAAACACCATGCCCGACATTTGGATGTAGCTGGGCGAGATTAGGTCGCCTGGATCACATGGGCTCAAGGAAGGGCTCGTGACTTACATCTTGAACTGAATTGTCATGCCCCTGTATAATGGCGAGAAGTACTGTGCGGCACCACCAAAGACAGCAGCGACGAGTCCCCATCTCGCAGCGCCAGCGACTGCGCCCCTCGTAGCCTCCCACGCGGCTTCATTGGCCTCGGTGGTTTGCAATGGGCTGTGTGAAGGCATTTTGCGAGGTTGTTGGAGCTCTGGCCAGTTTGTCGTGTGACAAGGTACAAGGCGCGCGGTGGGGTACCATTCGCCGACCTTGGGCTGGTCCAGAAGAGGACTATCCTGGGGTTTGTGTTATTGAAGCTGAAAGTGATCTGTACACAATGAAGGAACGTTTCTCGTCGTTGCAGGCACTGAATTGACCTGTATTGAGGTGGTTGAAGAGAAAGTCGATGTCAAGTCAGCATGGGCTCATCTATGATGCCAGACGCCGAGTACAGACCCCGAACGTCTACGGCGGCCCTTTGCATCACACTGGTCGGTTTTTAGTGGACATTCCGCTATCGCGCCGCTAATGCACCACCCAAAAGCTTCCTCTACATGGAGACCC